GGTGTAATGGGGTAGGAACCTAGCTGGGATTGCGTAAATCTAAAAAAACAGGCATGGGCTTACAGTTGTTTCTTTTCTGAAAATCTCTCGAAAACTCAACAATGCCTTTCTAGATGACCCAGAGGGCCTGGACAGCATTGCATCAGACAGCAAAGACAAATTGGGCCCATCTTGGTTTTGCTCAATGCTGGTACAAATCGTTGACATGGACGCAAGGATGACTGCTATATGGATTTAAGGAGTACCCTTGCCATAGGACTAACAGAGCCAGTGCCACATCGTGAGCATAAAAAAGTCATGTGGTCTATTGTACGTGTTGCTGTTTATGCTTTCCTTAATCACTGCCTTAGGGAGAAGCTTTACAAAGATTGTGAGGGCTATGTCATAGGCACACCTCTTTGTCTGGGAGACCTTTAGATGGTATCAAAGATGATAGTAACTGTCTTTTTTGGGGAAAAGAGACTAAGTTAGCTGAGATGGGCTGGAGCTATCATTGTTGCTGTTGTCATTAAAGTCCAATCCCATTTCCTAGAAGACAAAAGAAGACAAACACACACAAGGGGAAAACTCCCTCCAGCAAAGATAGAAAATGCAGCTTCTTTCTCTGGTGATGACTTTTATGGAAATGTCACTGGTGAAAAAGCTCAGGCACAGCACAGTCTTATCAGCCACTCTGAGATCTGGTAAACTTGTACCAGCATCAGGCCATTTAGAGTTATTGCTTTTAGCTGCCTCTCTTTTTTTCACAGGCTCGTGGCAAAATATACACTCTTGGATGGCTAAGCCAAACTTTCATTAAACAAAAGAAAAAAGAAGAAAAACGAGAGTGGGGGGAGATGGGGATAAAAAAGAACAAACATAGGGAGAGGGAGAAACAAAGTCTAACAGCCCAGGTAGTGTTTAGGATCCAGCTGGATCAGAATGATGAAGGCTTAATAATGTTAGGGTGGAATAACTCTGTATCCCAAAATGAAAGTATGGACAGCAGGATTCGGGCCAATTATAGTAGCAGAATTCATAATTGAATTGAAATATTGAGAAGCTAGTATACAGAGTAAGAAAATGAATGAAAGATATGAAGACTATAATTAGTAAATATCTGAGATTGCCTGCCTCCAGGAGGTTCTCATATGCCATGCCATAACTGTAAGTGTTAAAGAGCAGGCTTCCATTCTTAGTGACACTAGCGTAAATCTGGAATCACTGCACTGAAATCACTAGAGAGGTCTGGGGTTTACACTGATGTAAGTGAGATCAGAAACTGGCCCAATATCTTCATCAGGAAATCCTGAGTACTGCTTAGCAGCCCCAACTTCAGCAGACACAAATGTCACATACATAGAGACGCGCAGAACTGAGGGAATTCAGCATCTCTGAATTTGCTCCATACATCTAGCTAGCTGTCATTTCTGAGGTGCCATCAGTATGTTATCTAAATATCCATGGAGGTCTTGTTTGTGCCAGAAAAGTAAAGCTAGATCTATTGCAGAGGAGAACAAGATACTGTATCTTCTAGAGTCTGAGGGAATCATACCATGCTAAAACAGACATCTTCCTCCCCATTTGTGACAGTCTTATTCCTCCTCTGGCTTCAAGCCGTTGCTAAGAACCAAATAACGGTAACATAGAAATGCCCTTGTATTCCAAGGGTGAAATACTGCCTTGGACCAATATTGGAGGAACCAAACCCCAACAGAAGTAATTTAATGGCACAAACCATACTACATATATGCAAATATAGATGTCTTTTCTCCTCCAAAATCCACCCATGGAGATAATTGTTGCCATATAGCCTTCAAAGGATCTTGGGGTAAATGTTTCTGAGGTCCCATCCTGAGATGTGTGCTTACAGCAGACACTTACCTGCCTGGCTACTCCTGCATGTTCAGAGCAAGGCACAAAAATAGATGTAGGATCTAACTTCCTCCTGGGAGTAACTCCAACTACTTATGCAGAGTTACAGCAGTGATAATGCTAGGCCATGGTTTCTTGTAAGCGTTTTTGCAGTACCTTAAATTGACTGAGTCAAATATTCATGGATTTTCAGAATTCAAGGCCAAAAGGGACCATCACAATCTAGTGTGACCTTCTAAGTGTCTGGCATTTGGGACCCCCAGATTCTCATCACTGGGGTAACTCAGTAAACAGCCATGAGGACAATGTAGTGACTCAGCATTTACACTGGCAAAGAGGACATGGCCAAAGCTAAGGGCATGAAACTCATGATACCAAGCAAGAAAAGAACTGATGGGGAAGAGAAATGGTGCATGGAGTATGGAAAATCAACTATCCTTTCATATAGAGAAGTGTTCCCATTCACGTTGGTTAGAGCTAGTTAGATCTTTTCCCTTGGGGGGACATTTTGATTTTTCAATGAAAAATAGAAAACAGAGATATTTCAATTCAGAAATGCCACTGTGGTTCTTCATGGAAATTGTAGTTCACGTGCCTCATGCTACCATTATAAACTGGGCTCCCTGGTCTGACTACATCCCCCATGATGCATCATGGTCTCGCCTCTTGGTGAGGGAAGGTGGTGTATCATTGAACTCCCTTGGTATGGTGGATCATGGGAGATGTAGTCCAGCTGGGGATCCCAGAGGAGTATGAGGACTGAACTACAACTCTAAGGCCAGAAGGGGCCATTATAATTATCTAGTGTGACCTCCTGTATAACACGGGCCATAGAACTTCCCTGAAATAATTACTAGACCAAATCTTTTAGAAAAACATCCACTCCTGATTACAAATGGTCAGTGATGGAGAATCCTTCATGACCCTTGGTAAATTGTTCCAATGGTCAATTACTCTCATCATTGAAAATGTATGCCTTATGTCCAATCTTAATTGGTCTAGCTTCAACTTCCAGCCATTGAATTGTGTTAACTATCTCTGCTAGACTGAAGAGCCCATTATGAAATATTTTTCCCCATGTACGTACTTATAGATGGTAATTAAGTCACCTCTTAACCTTCTCTTTGTTAAGCTAATAGGTTTACCTCTTTGGGTCATGTTTTCTAATCCTTTAATCATTCTAATGGCTCTTCTCAGAGTCCTCTCCAATTTATAAACATTCTTCTTGAATTGTGGGCACCAAAACTGGACACATAATTCCAGCAGCTGTTGCTCTAGTTCGAAAGATAGAGATAAAATAACCTCTTTACTCCTATTTGGTCTACATTGCAGAGGATGTGGGGGAGATTCCCAAACCTGAGCCATTCTTTTTAGGTGACAAATCTGAGGAGGTGTCCTTAGAGGAGATTGCGACGGGTTCCACCTGGAGTGCCACCTGGAACTGGGGAACCACCGAGCCCTCTGACCCACCATCCTGGGCTCCCTCTCACACTGTGCTGCTGTGACAAGCTGCAGACATGCTCCCGATCTTACACTTCCACCAACATACACACAGGTAGGGATACCCCCAGCTGCAGTTACATGCAGGCTCTCTGACCGGCCACTGCATGTGAACTAACAATAGAGAGGCTAAACCCAAGGTAACTCTCAGCTCCCCAGGCATTCACCCCCTCTGGAGCATAAACCCAAAATTATACTGGCTTGCGCTGCACAGGGAACTGTACAGCATAAGCTCATAGCGTTCGGGCCCCCCCTCCCCAATATGCAATCTCTGAGCTAAAATTCCCACGTACTTCACTCCAAATTCAGCGGTTTAGATTAAAACATAAAATAAATTTATTAACTACAAAAGATAGATTTTAAGTGATTATAAGTGATAGCAAACAAATCAAAGCAGATTACCCAGCAAATAAACAAAAATGCAACCTAAGCTTAATATACTAGATAGATTGGATATGAATAGCAGATTCTCACACTAACTGATTGTACAGGCAGACTTGTAGATTCTTAAGGGACAAGCTGCACTTGCTTTACAGCTTGGAATCCCCAGGTCTTTCATACACAGGCTAGAAATCCCTTTAGCCTGGGTCCAGCACTTCCCCCAGTTCAGTCTTTGTTCTTCAGGTGTTTCCAGGTGTTTTCTTTTGTGTGGGGGGGTGAAGAACCCCAGATGATGTTATTCCCTGCTTTATATAGATTTAGCATATTGCACGAGCCCTTTGTTTCAAAGCTTGGTTCCCAGACCGTTTTTTTGAAAAATACTGGCATCTCAAGATGGAGTCCACCATCATGTGGCCTAATCACATATCCTTGAAGATTCATAGCAGCCATTACTTACAGGCTGTCTGTAGCATTCTCAGGAAGGCTCACAAGGTGAGGGATAAGCTTCTCCTAAGGCCTATTGTTTTTACTAATGGGCCATTCCCTGAATAGACCCTTCCCCAACCACTGTCTAGACTGAAAGCATCTTGTCTAGTTGGCATTACTCAGGTGTAATTACAGTTGAAGTACAGATACATAGTCAGTATTTATAACTTCAGATTCAAAAATGATACATGCATACAAATAGGATAATCATATTCAGCAAATCATAACTTTTCTAATGACACATCACATGACTTATCTTGCATTAAATACATCATAATTATGTGATAATCATGTCATAATAATATCACTATGAAGACTATGGGGTGCAGTGTCACCCCAATCCCCTTCTTGTGTGGCTCTGAGGCTGGGTCATGCAGCTTCAGGAGGGGTGAGATTTGCTGCTGTCTCCCTCTTGGCAGTTTTAAGATCACTCGGGATAAAGCACAGAAAAGCAACACATTTTACATTTCTGAAAGGGCAGGTATTTCACTCTTTTATTCTCATAAACCAACCAAGAGATTAGCTTGCAAGTTCTTGGAAAATTCTTCCATACTCATAGAATACGTACTGCAAGTGTGGGGGCCAATGCACTGTATTCTTCACATGTTAAAGTGCTGGGGGGGGGGGCAGTGCAAGTCTTAGGTATTTCCCTCCAAAATGTGTCACAGGGCCAGAGGTAGTCTGGAGTTTAACAGGCACCCTAAGATAAGTTAGGGCTACTCAGAGGAGTGCAACTTTGCCAGATCATATCCCAGTGATTGCCCCATTACATATATGTCTTATCTTGAAATATCTGTGTTCTTGTAAAAGACAAAAAATCTAAGGACAGTTTTCCTCAAGGCTTCCTTAACCTCCTTGTTTTTCAGGCTGTATATGAGGGGATTGACCAACGGGGTTAGGGCTCCATAGACAACAGAGAGCACTTTGTTCAGGTCCCTCAATGCCTCAGAGCCTGATAGCAGATACACAATGACTAGCGTCCCATAGAAAATTGTCACCACGATGAGATGGGAGGAGCAAGTGGAAAAGGCTTTTTGCCTCCCGGTGGTGGAAGGGATTCTCAGGATGGCGGAGATGATACAAACATAGGATGCCACTGTTAATAGAAATGGAGGCAATGTGAATATGGAGGAATGTATGAAAGCAGTAACTTCCAGCATGTGGGTGTCGCTGCAGGACAGTTTTATTATTGGGCTAAAATCACAAAAGAAATGATCAACTTCACTGGGGCCACAGAATCTTAATTGTGACATCATAAATATTATGATGGCAACAGACATAAATCCACTGATCCAAGACCAGGCCACTAGCTGGAGGCAGAACCTGTCATTCAAAAGGACTGCATAATGTAGCGGTTTCAATATTGCCAAATACCGATCATAGGCCATCACAGATAAAAGAGAACATTCAGTGGTTAACAGAGAACCAAAGAAATATAACTGTGTGATGCACTCACTAACAGAAATGGTTCTGTCCCCAGTCAGGAGACTGGTCAGCATCTTGGGCAGGATGGTGGAGCTGTAGCAGGTCTCCAAGCAGGACAAGTTCCCAAGGAAGAAGTACATGGGGGTGTGAAGTTGCTGATAAGCCACAACTAGTGCAAAGATGAGGATATTCCCGGTCGTGGTCACAATGTAGATCACTAGAAACAGCAGGAAGAGAAAGATCTGCAGCTGAGGGACATTCCCGAATCCAAGGAGGATAAATTCTGTGATGGATGTTTCATTTCCCTGTTGTTTCCTTTCCATAAGATTCATCTAAGGAAAATATATTAAAAAATCCAATTTATATTGTAACTTCCATTTCAATACACTCAACCTTTTAATTCTGGCTTCCCACTGCTAGTTACAATGTAAATGGCTGAGTCAAGACTCCAGATGGCAGAGGCATTCTCAGTAAAATTTTTGAAAGTGCCCACATTAAATCACATTTGAATAGTTCCTATTGTCTGGTATCTCTATGGCAGAACATCTTCCCTTCTGCCTACTGAACATTCCTGTGTATTACTTTAACCACAATGTCTGAGATTACCAGTGGAGATTAAGGGAATTAAATGCCACTCACTTGGCTTCAAATCAAAATACCATTCATATCCAAATGCTGGGCTCATACTTCTTTTACCCATATTTACACCGCAGAGTCCAGCAGATTCCAATAGAGTGGACACTGGAATTGGATCCCAAAGACATCGGTTTTATTGCTATCTCATCCACTCCATGTCCTTTGACTTGTCACTTCCCCCCCTCCAGGCCCCTGTGCCCTCCTCTATAAAATAGATGATGAGGATGGTACCACTTACCTTTTCTGAATGTTATTTGAGATTTGTGAAACTACAGCTCTACAAATGCTCAGTTGCTCTTGTGTAAAATTGACTTGATACTTAAGACAGTTTACAAAGTTCTTTAATAGCTATGATAATTATTGCAATATAATAGTGATATGTTATCATACTGCTATGAGACCTTGCATATCTTTGAATAAACTTAAGAAGCGAAATTAAACATAACTCAGAGTCACATCAAACTAATCTATTTTCACCTTAGTTTCTGTAGATATGGCATCAACTCTGTGTTTAACAACACATTTATTTTTATACATTTTCTTCCCCCTCCCCTCATTTTACTGATATATCTCTGAAATCTCTCTTAAAGGGAATCACACAGTATGTTCATTTCTCTGCAAGGATATTCACCATTCTTTCTGACAGCCACTCAGCACCTAAAATTTACTGGTAAAATTTTCAAGAAATGCCTCAGAGCCAGATTTTGAAATGTATTCATGCACCTTATCTTGTGGATACGCCCTTTGGATATTTTAAACATGACACAGAGCATAATCTGTACAGCTTGATTAAGGAGTTCTGCCAATGTCTGCTTGGATAAGATTTGGGGAATATGTCTTTGTCCAGTTGTTAATTCCAGTTGGTTTGATGATTGCTATTTCTATTTGCAACCATCTCTCTGGATGGGATCATCTCTTTTGTAGAAGGAAACATATAACAGGTTCTGGGTAATATATCCCTGGAAAGCAGTGACAACACCATCAAGGGCCATCAACACTGAATGGCTCACCCCTGGTGAAACAAGGGGAGTGCTGAGAGACCCACATCTAGGAACAGTGCACAGTCACTACCTGGATCCAGGGAACTCAGTAGCACATGGGATTCAGAGGTTGGATCCAATCACAATGGTCCAATGTCCATTCGGAGCCGGGAATGGGACCAGGAAGTTACGCTTGCACCTAAGTTTTCCCCTTGACTGGAACTTGAAACTGCTCCACTAAAGAAAACCACAGGAATATTTAGTAATCCAAAGAATGGAACAGACCATTCAGAGAGTCTTCTGTTTCTAATGTCACAAGGCTTCTGGTGGCCCTTAGAGTTTTTCAGCTAACAATCCTGTTTTCACTGTTTTTATTATTTGAACCTCACTTTTTTTAAACAAATTTATTTGAGCATAAGTTTTGGTGGGCTAAAGCCCCCTTCATCAGATGCATGTAGTGGAAAATACAGTAGGAAGATACATACATATATATATGTATGTATGTATGTATATATACACAGAGAACATGAAAAAATGGAGCTTGCCATACCAACTCTTAATGAGACCAATCAATTAAAGATGAGCTATTATCAGCAGGAGGAAAAAAAATGTTTGTAGTGATAATCAGGATGGCCCATTTCAAACAGTTGACAAGAAGGTGTGAGTAACAGTAAGGGGAAAATTAGTAGGGGGAAATAGTTTTTAGGTAGTGTAATGACTCATCCAATCCCAGTCTTTATTCAAGCCTAATTTAATGGTGTCCAGTTTGCAGATTAATTCCAGTTCTGCTGTTTCTCATTAGAGTCTGTTTTTGAAGTTTTTTTGTTGAATAATTGCTACTTTTAGGTCTGTAATTGAGTGTCCAGGGAGGTTGAAGTGTTCTCCTCCTGGTTTTTGAATGTTATAATTCTTGACGTCTGATTTGTGTCCATTTATTCTTTTGCATACAGACTGTCCGGTTTGGCCAGCAATGCCCCTCTGCCATGTACATGTATATATATATATATATATATATTCCTACTGTATTTTCCACTACATGCATCTGATGAAGGGGGCTTTAGCCCAGTTAGTCTCTAAGGTGCCACAAATACTCCTCATTCTTTCTGCTGATACAGACTAACACAGCTACCACTCTGAAACCTGTCACCTTTTTTGTAACCCCATTGATGCTGCTGCAAAGCACAGATAGGATGAGAATTTGGAAATATGAGCTAGTGACCTAACCTATGTGGAAATATGGAAAGAAGTTGTTCATTTATTCAACATAACTGCAGAGATAGTCTGGCACATAATTAATGCACACGCTAAATAAATAAATGCATAACTCCTATTTATGTTTCCAGCTCCTACACTATCAAAACACACAGCTGGAACCCAACATTTAAATTGGTAATAAACACTTGGGAATAGTTTCACACACAAACGTATTAGGTGTGTGTGTTGTAGTCAGGATAACCCTGCAATTTTCCATTGGGTGCAGGAGTATCTCTCACACACAGTGGGAACATGGAATGCAGGGTACGTGCCCACCCAGAAGGAGATTAAGCCTGCCTGGAATGTTGACTTACTCCAGAAGGAAAGGGCTTAGATTTTGAAACAGTTAAAGATGTTTTGATGGGATTTATTCATCTAATTGCCATAGAAGAAGATGTTCAGTGGAAAAAATAAGGCAGTTAGGTTGAAATTCCAAATATTGTCCAGGACTGACTCAGTTGAAATTACAATCTATGTAATAAGATTCTAGGATTGTCATTCCGTGTGTCAGTCTGAAGTTTCTAGGCCTGAAAATCAAAAAGGAATCCTCCAAAAGGTGAAAACATGGACAAATTGTTATGGAGGAGTACAAAGGACTATCACAGGCATACAGAGAGAGAATTAGTAAGGCTAAGGCACAAAATGAGTTACAATTACAAAGGGACATCAAAGGCAATAAAAAGAGGAATTAAAAGTACATTAGGAGCAAGAGAAAGACAAAGGAAAGTGTAGGTCCTCTATTTAACAGGGTTGGAAAGGTAATAACAGATGACATCAAGAAGGCTGACAAATTCACTCAACCAGCACACACAAGAACCCCAATCTCCAAAGACTAGAATGTCAGTTGAGTCAGCATGAAGTGATGGAAATAGGTACAATAATGTTAAGAGCTCTTTTTGTTTAGAATATCACCAGGTTCATTTATCACTGTGCTTCTCTGTTGGTTAGTGTCCAGTTTTTAACTTCTCAGCCACTTTTGGATTTTCTAACACACATGACTTTATGAGCTACACTCATGGAACAGTACAGGCTTCCAGCTACTAGTGAAGAAGAAAGCAGATTGTCTCCAGGGACAGAAGCTTGCTTGGCACAGTGACTTTGCTGACCTGGCAGCTAAAGTGTATGTAAAGTTTCAGAGAAGAGGGACCTCAGACAAATTTGATTAAATTAGCTCTAACTTAAAAAAAAAAACCCTTTGATTAATCCCTACTGAATGGAACACAAAATGTCATTCTCCTTTCCCCTCTCTGCACATTCTTCACCCCTTCTTTCCCCTCCTCTCTCATTTATTTTTACCTTTCTGTTCTTCTGCTTTATTTTATTTTGGGCAGGGTATTTTGTTCTCCACTTCATTTTTTGGGAAAAGAAAAATACAAACAAACAAATAAATAAGAAATGTACACACTTAAGACTACATTACAATTACTGAGTTAACATTAAAATAAGGACGGATTAGATGTTTAAAGGAGTTTAAAGGAAACAATTGCCCTCTCACTTACCCCAGTGTAAACTTGCCCTGAAGTCAAAAGAGATGCACAGCTGTAAAACTGCGATAAGTGAGAGGAGAATGACACCAAAAGAGAGGTGTCTTCTTCTTCCCCTTCAATTTTGTAATGACCCTATACAAATTCTTGCCTAGAGCATTTGCACATTTATCATATTCTCAGCACCATTCCCCATGTGCTGAATTGCAACCACCTATATCTGCTCTGGTGACCACATGGGAATTCTCACCAAAGAGTTTCTGCTGTGATGTCGCCAGGCAACCAGAGCCATTCTTTAGTTACAAATGGTGACAGAGGTCAGCTGTGAATGATGCAAAGTTTCTGCTACATCTGATATAGGGGTGGGTTATAGAATGGACTGTTTCAATCTGCAAGTGCTGGAAAAGCTGAAGGGGGGGTCACTTGGTCATCAGAGAAAGCTGCAGAAAAGCACAGAATGATCATAGGTCCCTAGATGTTGCTTTGCAGTGACTGAGCCCGTGGGGAGGGTGTCATGTTGCTGTAGTGTCCTGATGAGACACCATAAACTATTAAACAGTAGCCAGCATGCTGAGCATGGCTATAGGTGACCCTCTACTACATTCATTTCAGAGTTGGGAGCAAATGCATTCCTGCCCTGTCTCTAGTATCTTTAAGGGAGTTAGACCATTATTATCTGTTACTTCTTTTCTTTAGCATTTCAGGATCTTCCCTGAAGGGAAGGGAGATGATTCTTTTCTATTCCCTCCACCTCTCAGCCCTTCCTGGGATCCAGGTTTCCCCCTACAAACTGTGACTAGTTCAGTGTTGTGCACTGTGGCAGTCAGGAAGAACAGGGCCCCCTGGGTGGGATCTGGGAGGAGCTGTTCTGTTTCCTCAGCAACCCCTGTCCATTCTCACGTACCACACTCAATAATAGGGATTGCTCATCTTTACCAGCCAGGCATTAATCTGCCTCAATTCTGCCATGCCTGGAAA